GAAACCTGAAAGCTAAATTGTGCCCCACTCTTTATGGAATTAATTTTATAAATTTGTCTCATTTCTATTTCTCATTTCATACTTACTTTCAAATTATAATTTTAAGTTAACTTGCCATATGCTATTGTTGCTTAATTGTAAGTGGGCTTAACTTATTTTGGAATAAGGTCAGGTATAATTAATCAAATAAATGATGTGATAAAGAGCCGAAAGTTGAACAGAGAAAAGTAGCATCTAAATGGTGAAGGGATGGGGCGCCTGGGTGGCTTAGTCGGTTAAGCGTCCGACTTTCGCTTAGGTCATGATCGCATGGTTCGCGGGTTCGAGCCCCGCGTCGAGCTCTGTGCTAACTGCCAGCTCAGAGCCTGGAGCCTGTTTCAGAGTCTGTCACTCCCTCTCTCTCTGACCCTCCCCTGCTCACGCTGTCTTTCTCTCTCCTAGAAATAAATAAAAAACATTAAAAAAAAAAATAAATAAATGGTGAAGGGATGTACCATTAGTATTCTTTAATTTGCAAGTCACGTAAACCCCAAACTGGCTTAAAAGACAACAAAATATCAATTTAATCTGAAAAAAAAAATCAGTGGTAGTTTGTTTTCAGGCAGGATTTGATCTCAAAGAAGAGCAACAGGGATAGAGACTTTGTCTGCTTGGTTTATTTTTACATTTCCAGAAAAGAGGTCACTATTACATAAATGCTCAATAAATATTTGTTGAATTTATTGTTGTGAAACTCCTAAAAGTTTCTGCAAAAATCCCAGGATCCTGCCCATCCCTGGACCAATCTTTTGATTGGGAAGATCCAGGCCCCTAATTTTCCACACAGCCTTAGTCACACAGTCCAAACAACAAAGCCAGGGATGAGTCCCCAAGGCAATCATAGGCATGGACAATGGGGAAAATGGTTCCCCCAAAGAAAATCTGGGCGTTACAAAGGAGAACTAGATGCTAGGCGGACAAAATAACAATATGAATATCAATGGACAATCAAGAAGGTAAGGCTTAAGCTGAATTTTAAAGGCTAAGCGGGAGTTAGCTAATAAAGAGGCCGGTTATCATTGGGTAACATTCTACGTATGTTCAAAGCACAGAGGCATGAAATAGCTGAACTGTAAATACTTTAAGATGCTTAGAGCAAACAAGGGTGGGGACCTGTAGGCAAATAACTAGAGAGATAGAGTATAAATATGAGGGACCTTTTAGGCTAATCCTAGGGTGTGCTCAACCTAGGAAGCCCTGCGAAACCTACGTACAATTTCTAGCAGGGGACCATGCCTTACAGCTAAGCCAATGACCTTCATTAAAGGGTCAAAACTGGTTTGCCCTGGAAACACCGACTGGAGCTGAGTCTTCAGGTCAGGGAAAGAAGTCCCACTTGTGGGCAAATACACAGGGAATAGGGCCCAAGCAAAGCCTAGGAATCAGACCTGGGAACCAAACAGAGCCTGCCAACACTCTCAGGCTCTTGCTTTTTTAAGGTCCAAGCTAGCAGCCTAAGCTGTTGAGAACTTTTCATCTTCATGTGAAAGCACTCTTCAGTTAGCCAAGAGGCAGTCAATGGCATGACTTGGTTGCATATTGCATTCATTTGCCGAGGCTGCCATACAACACCCCACAACCTGGGTGCCTTAAACAGCAGGAATTTATTGTAGCATAGTTCTGGGGGCTAGAAGTCTGAGATCATGGTGTCAGCAGGGCATGGTTCCTCTGAGGGCTGGGAGGAAGAATCTGTTCCTTGTCTCTCAGCTAGCTTCCGGTGATCTCTTGGCTTACAGATGCATCGCCCTTAACTCTGCCTCCCTCTTCCCTTGGTGGTCTCCCTGTGTGCATGTCTGTTTCCAAATCTCCCCTCGTTATAAGGCCTCCAGTCATATGGGATCCAGAGCTCACCCTACTGACCTCGATTTAACCTGATTATCTCTACAAAGACTCTACCTCCAAACCAGATGACATACTGAGGTATTAGAGGGGAGCACTTCAATGTATGAATCTCTGGAGGACACAATTCAATGCATCAAGCTATCATTAAAAATACATTTGTGGGGTGCCTGGGTGGCTCATTCAGTTAAGCATCTTACTTCAGCTCAGGTCCTGATCTCACGGTTTGTGAGTTGGAGCCCCACATTGGGGTTTGCGCTGACAGTATGGATCCTGCTTCGGATCCTCTGTCCCTCTCTCTCTGCTTCTCCCCTTGCGCACATTTGTTCTCTTTCTCTCTCTCTCAAAAAATCAATAAACTTAAGAAAAAGATAGTTTTGTTATCAAGGCTTTAAAAGAAAAGTAAACATTCCCTAAGTGAATTTATTTGCTTATAAAAGGTATGCTTCCAAGTTGGTTTGTAAAAACAAAGAAAGTAACATCAGTAGTATAAAAGATCCAGAAGCAACCCAATAGTCCACAAGGAAGGATGCTTTTTTTGACTAAATTTTAAAATGCTTCTCTTCTAACTTCCAGGATTTTTCATAGACCCTAGTGTAGAGAAGGGTGGCTGTGCATCACACAGACCTTCCATCTACTGAGTCTCTTCTGCACACCTACCATTCAATCCTCCCCCAAAGTTCTCTGAAGTAGTTATTACTCACCTCATCTGCAAATGAAGAAACTAAGAATCACCTCAAGATTAACTGCATTTCCTGGGCTGCATTTGGTGAGCAGTGGGGCTGGGATTTGAATTCAGACTTCTCTGACGCCAAATCACTGCATGCACTGCAAAATAATGTTATGAGAGCCCTGATTGAAGGCCAAGCACTCACATTTGCATTGACTCAAAAATATGCTGCCCAACACACTACCCAGAGAGGAACGAAGCCTCTGGAGGGAACAGCTGTGGACGCCCTACCATGCCCAACATGTTTGATGCTCAAGTAAATAACACCTTTGTGAAGTCATCAGAGAGTTATAATCCTCTGATAACAGATTCATCTCTTATCATAAGAGTGTAACATTTTTCCCAATTAGCAGGGAGGTCCAAGTGCAGGAGTTATAAATATTCTCTCCATGAGCTTCTTCATACCCAATTCTGCCTGCTACAAATGCCTGCTGGTCCACTGAAAAGGACTTTCTCCTGAAGATGCCACTGTATGAGTGACGTCATTCTCCACCCAGTCCTCCACTGATTCTATTCTCCTGCATCATTCGTTTGGTTGGGAAACTGCTTTCATTTGAAGGTCTTAATCGAGACAATAGACAGATAGACACCCAAAGATACTAACAAAGAGAGTGGACTCTCTGCCCCTAAAGATACTAATTTTACTATCTCCAGGGGTGAAACAAATCACATTGTCAGTCTTCTTGGGCAGTTCTGGAGGTTAGAGAGAAGCTAAAGGTTTATAGCTTAATAGAAGCATTTGTAACCATGGCAAGATAAACAGACATAACTTAAAAGCCTAACTCCAATAAAATGCCGAGGGGCAAGACAGCCTAGGCTGTTTTCACTCAGATTCCCATCAGCTACAAACACCACAAGCAAGGAGAGTTATTTCAAAAGCAACAGCCTTATTTCCTGAGTGATCTGTGCTCAAAGAATTAGAAACTCATCCTGTGTATCTAGAAGGGAGAGAGTTTCTGTAGTGAAGGAGACGTGAGTCAGACTTGGAATTACAGAGCACAGTGCCAAGGCGAAACATTTCCCTAGATTTGTACCATTTCCTCCTCCCTTTGCCTTTAGATGTTATTTCCTTACATCCTCTTTTTCATCTGCTCTATTTTTTGCTGAGTTGTCCCTTGCTTCACTTCCAGTGAAAATCCAGGAGCCTCAGTGCTCTGAAAGATTCTGAAATGGGCAATTTTGATGTTTCTTAAAGGAATAAAAATGGTTCTTACAACACCTCCCCCAACACACACACACACACACACACACCCATCATCTTCCTGGAAGATGATACAGTATCCTAGAGGGTTGTGAAAGGGGTTGAGAGATCTTTGCAGAGACACCTACCAACTTGAAGGTGCCCTCTGCGACCTCGGGGGAAATTGTACCCACTTGGGTGTGTGACTCCACTGATATAGAAGTGAAACTGGTGAAAGGTTCTAAGGGGACACAAATGTCTGGGCAGAACTTCCAAACAGGCCTAGTACGTCCTGGGAGAACGTGCCTGAGAGCCCAACCCTGGGAATCGGGCGGAGAGAAAACCTGGAGAGTGGTTGGCCAATGAAAAATGATCCTCGTGATCAAATTAATACTCTGAAAACGACGCTAACTTGGGTCAGGTTCTGGACACTGGGCTGGACTCAGGTGCTCTCCACACTCGGGGATTTTCTTTGAGATGCTAGGACCGTCGAGGACGGGAAGGGAAAGAACTAGGGGCTGGATATTCGGCTTCTTGCTCTCAGGCCAAGGCAGCCCAGCCTGCAGGGTTACAAGACACAGGATCGAGTCCAAGGGGGTCCCCAGCGAGCCGAGGAGCGCCGGAAGGAATCTAAGAGTTTAATTAAGTACCCCTTCCCCCAGCACACACGCCTAGTGAAGAGGGACCCAAATAGGCAATCCTCAAACCGTTTGATCAGAGGAAATTGGGTTTGTCTCCCTCCCCCCTACCCCGTCACCCCTTCCTGTCTTTCAATCCATCAGGACTGTTGGTTAAAAAAAAAAGAGGGAGGGAGCATAAAATCGGGGGCGGGGCGGAGACGACCGCGCTGCACTTGAGAGCCTGGGCTGCGCCGCGGTGAACTTCGTCTCGCAGATCACCCGCCCCCAGCTCCGCGCGCCGGCTGCTCGCGCGGCCAGTCCCGCGCCGCCCGCCGCCCGCCCGCCCGCACACGCCGGGCCTCGCGCCCTCGGAGCCGGGCCGCGCCGCCGGGATCGCGCGGCGGCGTCCGCGCTCCGCGTTTTCGCTCCCGCCGGGCCCCGGAGGCCGAGGGCGGGGTGCGCGGCGGCGCCGCGGCGCGGGGCTCCGAGTCGGAGCGCACTCCGCCTGCAGCCCGCCGCGAGCGCCGCCTCCCGCGGCCGCCGCCGCCGCCGCCCGACAGCGCGCCCCGGAGCATGCCGGCCTGCGCCGCCCGCGCCGCCTGACTTCCCCGAGGGGCCCCGCGGCCGCACGGCGACTCGCCGCGCTCTCTCCATGGTCCGCCGGCTGCCCGCCCTCGCCCACCCCTGACGCCGCGGGCCGCAGCACCGCAGACCTGCGCGGCGCGGAGGACCGTCCAGCCGACTTCTCTCTGCCTCGCGCGGGGTGAGTGGCGGCCGGGCTCCGGCCGGCTCTGCAGCGGGGCTGCGGCGCGGCAGTGGGGGGCGAGCGCCAGGCACCCTGGGTGTCACTGCAGGGGGTGGGGGGGCTGTGACACCCAGGCTGGGCCGGCAGAGCAGAAAGCAAGGGAGAAGGGCATCATCGGCTTGTTGGGCTGTGTAGACGGTGAAAGCCGATACCAGGCTGCAGCACCGAGGGGGCTTCAGAGAGGCAGCCCGCATGGCTCCCGTTTGCTGCATCACTACCAACTCTTCCCCCGAGTCTCTCCTGCGTGGAAACCCGTTCAGCGGCCCCGGAGTTGGGGCGATGAGGGACGCAGGGAGGCGAGGGTGCGTCGGCATGTGTCCGCCGCTTAGGATCTCCTGTCACCTACTGGCGTCCGGAGGGAGGCTGCTGCTTCTCTCCCAACGCTCTGCGGAAAGGGCCGGCCGCTTTTTGGCAGGGGTGCATCGGCTCCCCGCCCCCGCCCCCGCCTCGACAAAGGTGTTTTCTGAAGGTAGCAAGTCAGCGGAAAAGAACGGGAGCGTCTTCCTCCCTTTTAGGCAGAAACAAAGTTGGAGAAACTGGGCATGTTCGTAATTAGCAGGGCCGGGACTCGGGGTGCAGCAGAAAGCTGTTACAATTTCATTGCCCTCTAAAAAACAAACGGCATCCCCAGTGGCTATCAGCAGTGCCATATTATTTGGGGGGGGGGGGACGTGGGGATAATTGTCCACAGACTGATTGTCTTCAGGAGGCTGAAGAACGAGATAGGGATGGCACCGCACTGACTTCCAGTTTTGCCTGAGGAGGATTCAGAATCAGAACCCAACATGTTGGGTTGCTGATTGTAAGGAGTATGGGAGACCAGAACTGCGGCCATGAACGAGGTGAAGAGCACAGTCCGGGAACCTGCGTGAAAGGAAAAGCGCATGTAAAGATCTGGCCTCTCCGGAGAGGTTCGCATGCATCTGTGCTATAAGAAGCATGTATATGTGACTTTTAGAATAGGTGTTAGGAAGGGCGATTTATACCCCAAAGAATCGAATGTGAGCATGCCTTCTTACAGTTTTGTGTACCTCTCTCTTCATTTTAGTCTGCTGTGTGTGCAGCTGGTGTTATATAATTGATGGGCTTCACCCTCAGCTATTTTTTCACGTACTTTTGGAGGAAAGGGAACTTCTGTCTGTCCCTTCAGACAGGCCCAAGGTGTAGACCGGCAAGGGTTGCTGGATGTTTGCCCTGGTCCGGCTCCAGATGTGTGAGCTCAGCTGTTGCCTGTCACTTAGGTGACAACTGGCCTTTTCCCACTAAGCCTTTGCTGTCTCCATTCTCCTCAGTGAAGTGTCAGTGTTCAGCCGCCTTCTATTATCCAGAGTGGACTCGAGCCCCTTGGGGAGGCGGCAGTCTTGTTTGACCATCCTCAACAATATGTGTTTCCAGACTCGGGGGGTGGGGGGGGGGGATCCCATGACAGCAAGATAGATACACTTTGAATTGAGCACCAACTTAATCCAAAGATTCTGCTTTAATCAAGACGGCTCTGGAAGGATGACGCAATATTTGTCAAGCCTTTTTCCCTGGAACAATATTTACTCCCACCAAGGGATTTTCAACTTAAACAACAGCCATTTATCTTGCTGTCTGGTGGGGCCCGGTTCAGTTTGCCTCCAATGGGGTCCTAGCCTAGGTGGCTGGTTTGGCCTGGGACAGGAATCTGTCATTGTAACCCAACTGGAGCCTGAAGAAAGCAAAATACAGCACCTGCTGGTACCGGGGGGGGGTTTCTAACGGCCATCAACTGGCCAGCCAGGAAACACAGGAGGAGATATTTTACAAGCCCTTCCGAAATGTTTATACAAAGGATTTAAAGGTTAACAACGCATGTGCTCTACATATTAAAACTAAAGGTTCTAGAAACAAATGGACATTACCCACGGTGAAGAGTCCGCACGCTTGCTGATGGACTTGAAAATCTGTTTTAATAAGTCATGGCTAACAATAGTGACTCATTCTTGAGAATAAACCTAGGAAGGAAGGAAGGAGGGAGGAGGGAGGGGAAGTGAGGAGGAAAGGAGGATGGAGGAACTTGATGGTACGTAGAGGTAGCCATGTTGATGTGAGCAAATGGGTTTAGTAAATTAATTTCTCCATCCTTAATTTGGTACTTACAGCTGATCTGTCACTGACTGATCCTCTTGATTTATGGGTTTATTTTTTTTTAAAGAAAAGTGATACATTTTACTAAAGTGACAGAGTCAACCAATTCTGCTAGCAATACCAATGAAACTTAAAAAGTTTATCATGTTTTTATAATCAAGTTCCATGGAGCTACCATTTGTCTTTATCATAAAGGGGATTGCAATGAGTCAGCTCTGGTCATGCAAATAAAATCTAATATCAGCTGGGAAGGAAAAAAAAGCCTTATAGGTTTAATAGCTTAACTATTATGTTTAGAGTCAGATGTGGGTAAAAGTCTGGTTGCTACTAATATTCTCTCCTATGATAATTCTGGAAAGACACAAAAAAAGAAGAGGTTAAAATTTGAGGTTTCTTTAATGATGGATTAAAAAAATTAAGCAGAAATCTAAGTTTTAAAAACTGACATTGTAAGATAATCTCTCTAAAAACTTTGATAATTCCTTGAAAACAAAACACAGTTGAATAGGGTGAGTGATGTTCATATTACTCATGAAATGGAATAAGAATCTTTAAAAATTACTTTCCAATAATTAAGTAACTCTTTTAATGGCCTAAACCTAGTTTGTGTTTTCCAATATTATGGGAAATGATTTTCAGAAAAAAAATTGTCATTACTGGTATTCTAGTTAAGTGCAGTCAATTTCCATTAAAGTAGTTCATAAAGAATATTTTCTTTTCCTTTTAAAGAAGGGAAGTTGGGGCACCTGGGTGGCTTAGTCGGTTAAGCCTCCGACTTTCGCTTAGGTCATGATCTCGCGGTTCGTGGGTTCGAGCCCCGCGTCGGGCTCTGTGCTGACTGCCAGCTCAGAGCCTGGAGCCTGTTTCAGAGTCTGTGACTCCCTCTCTCTCTGACCCTCCCCTGCTCACGCTGTCTCTCTCTCTCCTAGAAATAAATAAAAAATAAATAAAGAAAGAAAGAAGGGAAGTAATTTAAAAAGCCAAAGTGATTCTCGTCTGTACACAGAAATGGTAAAGATGCCACTTGACCAGGATAGACTCCTTCCCCTTGGAAAGGTAGCTCCCTCTCTCTTTTCCCCTCATTTTTTGTAAAATAATATCAAGTGTTTAACTCTTATTAGAGTGAGAATAGTCAGTTTGCTTATAGTCACATGTAATCATTCCATAATAAAGAGACGTCAGGGGAGTGAATGAATTGGATTTCCTGGTTGGTTGGTTGGTTGGTTGGTGTTTTAAGGGAGCATTACGGCTTTTTCTTTTGGTCACAGAACAAAGCCTTTTCGTTTTGTGCACTAACATCTTTGGAAGGCTGGTTCGAAAGCAAACACCCTGGGAGAAGAAGGTCCAGTAATCTAGGTGCCAAGTCCTGGGTTGCTGCGGTTCCTCGAAATCTCAGAGCAGAGTGCGGAGACAGAGTTGTACTGGGGAACCACAGCGGTTCTCCCCCCACCCCTGCTTCTGGACGTGGCCATCTCCCCCCCACACAAGTGTACCATCTCAGCTCCCCCCGCCACCCCGTGACTAGTGACCACCCTCAGTCTGTGGCTGTGCCTCACCGAAGTCAAGGAGGGTAACTGCATGTGTGTTGGTGAAGGAACACTTGGGACAGTGGAGGAGACCTGGCCTGAAATTGCGTGGGGGACCCAGCGAAGCCCATGTTTCCCTCATTCCCCTCTCTCCTGAAGGACGATGGGGGGAAGAGGCATGCTTTACAAGTTGGAGCATGCTGATGTCATGACGCTTCTGGCGCGGAGATGCGACAGAATAATCGGACGCTTCCCTGTGTGCCAGGATGACACGAGTTTTCCAAGAGCGAGTCCTGAGCCAGTGGTCCGCTGGGACTCTTTCCAGTTTCGAGGGGGGATCAGACCTCAAAGAAAATGGAATAATTCCTCCTGTGTTTCTGCGTTGTTTGCTTGTTTAGACTAAATTCCAAATGCATTTTGGTCACTTTTGAAAGGACCTCTCTAGGAGCAAGAATGATGGCCCATCCTGAACGGATTAGACTTTTCCAGCTTCATTTCCCTATAAAGAGAGATTTTAAATTTTAATTTCAAATAAAAATGTCAGCAAGGCAGATGCCAGTGTAAACATTTTAAAACTTAAAGCCGTAAACTAGCAAGCAGCTGTCATTTACCTTTACTTGACTTTCCCCATATCCACCCATCCCTTGTCCCCTGCCCCCACTTAACTTTAGTTGACTTCCCTTCACCGCCCCCCACCCCCATCCGTAAGTTTGGTCCTAAGTGATCCCACTGACCAATTAAACTGCAGTTGTATTTTTCTCACTGGTAGATTTGGGGTGAACTCTTGGGAGAAGTGCCTTTCATTTCTAGTGGATTGCACTTCAGGGGAAAAAAAAAGTTAGGGCTGTGTTATTTCAGTTGTTCTAGTACTGAAGTCATATACTCCTCTAAGAGTTCTGACCCAGTTGCTGATTTATAGCATCCACCAGCTTTTGCTTTGTGTATGCTTCTCTGTTTCCTTCTTTTCTCATTGAGTCTTTGGAAAGAAAGATCTGTCAATAATGCAGTGGAAATATTGCAGTCAGACGCAGACCCGTAAGGAGACTTCTCAGTGCAGCGAGCGCTCACTCAGCTGCCCTTCTTTTATCTGAGGCAGATCCCACAGCTCGCAATTATGGTCTTTGACTTTGGTAACAATTCTGTTTGAAATGTTTCCAATTACACACAATATTGGCGGCATGTAGCAGCTGCATGCCAAAAAGCATTTCGAAGCATGTTCCAAGAATCAGGCTGTGATTGCTTTTAATTTAAATAAAGGCTATTTGGTTTCCTGTGAAGTTTTTTATAACCACTCCCCCCCCATTTTTGTTGCCTTTAAAA